ATTGCTAATTTTTGAGGGTCTTGTGTCCTGAGTGGTTTCAGGTTTGAGTTGGGAATTTGATATATCGTGAACTTTTTTTTTTTTGACAAAAATCGTGAACTTGATAATTGGATAGGTTGTCAACTTGTTGATTTTTTTGCTTTGGATTGATTGGCAAATTTAATGTTATAATGGTTGCTTTGCATATCAATTCATTATGGTGTTTATTAAAGGGGCTGATTTATTGTCCGTGATGTTTTTTGCTTTAGAAATCTATTTGTTTTTAGTCCTCTGTGTTACATGACTGTTTTTGATTATCAGTATATTGTTTAATCTGTCTCAGACTGTTTCTTACATGGCGGAACGTGTGGTTGGCACTGGGTCATTTGGTGTAGTCTTTCAGGTAAAGTGATTGGGATCACTGTCTTTGTATTTGGCTTTGGCATTTGAGTACATTACTACATTCTAATGTATCCATGTTCCTCACAATATTTAGGCAAAGTGCTTGGAAACTGGTGAACAAGTTGCGATTAAAAAGGTGTTACAAGATAAGCGATACAAGAATAGAGAACTCTCAATCATGCGCTTACTAGAGCATCCAAATGTTGTTTTACTAAGGCATTGTTTTTATTCAACAACTGAAAAGGATGAGGTGTATCTTAACCTCGTCCTAGAGTATGTTCCTGAAACTATCTACCGGGTTTTGAAGCACCATAATAGGATGAATCAGCACATGCCAATGATCTATGTACAATTGTATACTTATCAGGTAATCTTGACTTCTATTTTTGATGTAAAATGTTTCATACGAGTAGCTGATCTCATTGATGTATATAAGCACTTTTTGTCTTCTTTTGTAGATTTGTCGCTCGCTCAATTATATACACAATGTTATCGGTGTTTGCCATCGTGACATCAAGCCCCAAAATATACTTGTGAGTTTTTTGTTGAGTTTTCTTTTAATTTATAGTATTGTGCATTTATGGAGTTCCCTTTTGTTTGGTATGGTCTGTATCGGCATTTGGCATGTTGGTAGGACTAGAAAGAAAATGTCCTCCATATTAAAAGTGATCAGCTAGTGAATCATGCAAATATCTTTTGTTGTATGTGTGTATATATATGTGTGTGTGTGTATACATATATATTTTTGGTGGGGGTTGGTTGTTGAAACTTTTTTCTTTCCCCTTTCTTCTATTGTGGGGTGTGTGTGTGTGTGGGTTGGGGTTGGGTGGGGGGGGGGGCGGGGAGGTGGTTTGACATATTTTATCTTTTCTTAAACATTTTTCTCATTTTCTGTATGGGGTTGAAGCTTTTTTCTTTCTTTCTGTTTATTCTTTGTGTGGAGGCTTGAGATCCATTTGGTATGTGGCTGTACGAATCTTTACTTCCTAGAGCTAGTCTGGCCGTCTCTCAGTGTCGTTTTCATTCCACTGAGATTGTTCATGGTCTTTTCAGGTTAACCCACACACTCATCAAGTAAAGCTCTGTGACTTTGGGAGTGCAAAAATGCTGGTATGCCATTTTTACAGTGCAGGATTATGTTATATATTTTTTTGATCTGTCATGCAAGGTTTAAGTTTGATATCCAACTGTAGGTACCTGGTGAACCTAACATTTCATACATTTGTTCCCGGTATTATCGTGCTCCCGAATTGATATTTGGAGCTACCGAGTACACAACTGCAATCGATATGTGGTCTGTGGGTTGCGTAATGGCTGAGCTTCTCTTGGGGCAGGTTAGTATTTGCAATTTTAACTAAAATGCAATATTTTATGATGAGGGGGCCTTAATTTATGCAAGCACTTTGAAGCTGGATTTTGCTCATATTCTCTATATTTTATTTAAGCGCTTTGAAGTTGTTCAAGGGATTGGGGTTAGTTATTACTTGTTTTGATCGAGAATTGAGAACTGGAAACAATACCTGAACCTAAATTTACGACACTGTTCAAATGATTGTCAAGCTGGTGTACATGTTGGATGCTATGAAAAATTATACTTGTACTTCATATTAAGAGCTGGCTATTGGTTAATCCCCCAAGCGGAGGACTATTACAGTATTAGCTGTGTCTTAAACTGTTTTTTTCCCCCTATACTACCCTCCCGTGAGCAGTTCTTGTTTATAGACTTGACTTATTGTTTACTACAAGATACTAATTATTTTTAAAATTTTAGGCAATTGTTTATATGTTTTATAATCAAATAATTTTATTAATATGATGACATATGGCTATGTGGTGGCTTTCTTCAGTTCTGATTGTTTTGTATGTGCAGCCTTTGTTTCCTGGTGAAAATGGTGTTGATCAACTGGTGGAGATCATCAAGGTGTGCCTTGAAACTGTTTTCCTGTTTACAGTTTTATCTGCCTTCTGCCTCTGGACTGTATTGACATGCTTCTTCTACATTGTTTTGTTATTCAGATTTTGGGAACACCAACGAGAGAAGAAATAAAGTGTATGAATCCAAATTACAGCGAGTTCAAGTTTCCCCAGATCAAGGCTCATCCGTGGCACAAGGTCTTGTTAGATCCCCTCTCTCTCTCTTTCTCTCTCACTGCAAAACACACACATACGCAATTGCATGCTCACAGAGTTAGATTCTCTTTAGTTTATACCAAAGTTTAATTTTTGCTCTTCTAAACAAATTGATATCTTATTTCAGGTGTTTCATAAGCGTATGCCTCCTGAAGCTGTGGATCTCGTGTCAAGATTGCTCCAGTATTCACCTAAGCTTCGTTGCTCAGCTGTAAGAATCTCTTTTTTATTTTATTTTTTCTGTCTGTAATTTTAGACCAACTCCTAATAGTACATTGCTAATCCATTTTGGTCTTTATGACTGTGACATTCTGTTTACTGTACTTGTTTACAGACTTCTGACTGTATTATTGTTGGTCATGCATCCATTTAATCCAATCGTGTAATGTTTGTGAAATTTTTTGCTTTGATTAACATTGGGCTGCTGCGAAGTTGAGGATATATAGGTTCTACAGTGTGGACTGTACCACACTTTCACCCTCTTATTTTGGGCTGAAATAGTATATTGTTACTGGAGAAATTTTTGTTGTGTTGGAGTAGCACCCCTCCCTCCAAAAGAAAACGAGGGGGGTAAATGGGTGATATAATGATCCCACAACTGTGTTTGTCACTTCCTCCTGCCCTGCCAGTGCATATATTAGTCCCTTGACCTCAGTCGTGCCTTGTATAAATCAAATTAACTTTCTTGCTAAATTTTAAAATTTTAATACTTATATCCAATGTACTCTCAGCTGGAAGCTTGTGCGCATCATTTCTTTGATGATCTGAGAGACCCAAATGCAAGCTTGCCTAATGGAAGACCTCTTCCTCCTCTATTTAACTTCACCCCTGAAGGTATGTTTTGTTCTCTTTTCGTCATTTATGGTAACCTCATCCTCCAATTTTACTCAATTTTCGGGTAATATTTTCAGAGTTGGCTCATGCAACACCTGAACTACGTCAACACCTGATCCTTGACTCAACAAAGAAGTGAGTTTCAAGGCAATGGTTGTGACATTTTCTCCTGGTTTGCTAACTTGCACACAAGTATCTTGAATTGTGAGTTCTCGTGAAGCTTGTCATCCTCATTCAAGTGTTATACAGATCCAGATAGAACACTTTACTAGGCAGATCAGCTATTTATTTGTGACAGCTCGTTTTCTTTGACCAAGTAATTGGGGCAGTATAAGTTCAAGAGAGTGAAATTTACGCGGCAATGGAGGTTATTTAGCTTTGATTTCAAAGTTACGTTGCCTCTTCAGTTATGGTGAATTGTACTTGTGAAATTGCGTATGATATTGTGTATCTACTCCTTAGTTATCTCTGGTCATCGACACTTTCCATGGTGACTAGATGCATTTGTCATTACTTAGGCTATGGTGTAATACTGTAAGTCTGTAATTGGTTGTCACCTTTTGTGCTTCATTATGAGGCGTTGAGAAATTTAAGGCTCGTTTTTTTATGCAACCTCTAGTTCTCGGGTTACTCTGAATTATTACCCTTGTTGAAACATAATGGTTACATTTTGAATTTTGACATTATTCACAAACTTTAATTTGACCGTAATCAGTATTTTATATGCAAGGAAAGATAAGAGTTATTTGGAAAATTGGGGATACTTTTAATGGTAATTTAAAAAAGGGACCATAACATTTACGCATTTACAGATTTAACATAGTATTAGGGAGTATGGATCCCATGCACATTTGGCGCAATATGATTTATTGGTAAAATGATAGCTACATCTTATAAAAAATGGACTGTATTTCACAAGGGGCAAGGAATGTATGAAGGGGTGGTACGAAGTTTCATAGTTAAAAAAAAAAAGCTGAAAATAGGGGACAGTTTAAGTGGTTAAAGCTTCATTTCCTGATTTATTTTATTTTTATTTTTCATTTTATTTTCCGGTCATTGAGTTAATTTCATCCTCAAAACTTGGATTCCCTACCAGTTAGTTTTCATAAAAGTTCATTTACTACGGAATATTATCCTCAAACGGTTACAAATATGAACGTGGTTACAAATTACTCAAATCACATCCATTTACCTCTCAATGTGCATCCTATTGTATATACAAGGTGTTGGTTAATGCTAACTTGATTTCATTGTATACCCTATTTTAATACTAATTTGAATCTCCCTTCGGTTTTTTTTTTTTTTTTTATAAGTTAGAGCCAAATTTGCACATTTGCTGAGACACGAGATACAACTTTGAGCATCAATGTTTTTAATGGGAGACTAGTAAAAATTATGAAAAAATTAGATTTAAAAAATAGACATTATGACAAATCCAACAACATATTATATGAACGTATTTTTATATAATACATTGGTAAAAAAAAAAAAATCAATGATGACATATAAATGGTGGAAAATCTTAAAAAAAAAAAAAAAAAAAAAAAAAAGAGTAATATCTAACTTCATAACAGATTTTATCAGATAAATTGTCGCACAATCTTAAAATATTTAGTTTTAAACTTGTTGTCGATTCCAACTCCGAATTTTTAATTTGGAAACCAAGTTTCCAATATGTCAATATTTTTGCTCACCCCTTGTCTCGAACAATGCCAAGATTGTTAACTACACAAATCGCGAAAAAAATAGTTTATGCAAACCCACGTCCTTTCTTGCAAGACTTTTCTATGTTGTATTTGTTGTGTAATGTTATTTTAAACAAAATAACTAAAAAAAGAAAATTCTAAAATCCACTCCATTATCTTACAATTTCAACTCCTCCAACTTAATTACCCAATCAAATCATTCCCCTCTTTTCTTCTTCATCTTCATCAATTTCTTCCTAAAACAATCCCTAATTTCAACTTTCTCTCTCCTCAATCCAGGTTATCAATGGCTTCTCCCTCTCAATTTCCCTGAATTATCTCACGAAAACCCTAATTTATCAATCGACGACTTCAATTTCACCTCTAATTTCTCAATTTCTTGCACCGCCATGTCCGCCACCGATGTCGATACGACGGCGCCGTTACTCGCACCTCTTTCACCGCCTTCCGGCGACCGATCGTTGCAGTCGCGAAGCCGGAGGATTTCCAGTAGAGCTGGGCTACGTGGCGCCGCGAGGTTTCTCCGGCGAGCGAATAGCCGGAGAATGATATCGGAGCAATCGGTTATGGTGAGAGAATCGGCAGCGCAGCAAATCGAAGAGCGTCAAAGTGATTGGGCTTACTCTACTCCAATTGTTGTTCTCGACCTTCTTTGGAACACGATATTTGTGTTTGTTGCCATTGTTATTATGATCTTAAGCGGCGATGAGAAAACGCAGGTTCCGTTGAGGTTGTGGCTTGTCGGATATGGTTTTCAGTGTATTTTGCATATGGTTTGTGTTTGTGTTGAATACAGGAGGAGGAGAGAGATTAGCAGGCCTAGGTATGGGTCTTCGGGTGGGTGGAACGTTGGTGTCGGGCCGAGTTCTGGTTCCAGTTTGGCTTTGAATTTGAATTCGGGTTCAAATCGATCGAGTAATGTAAATTCAGCACATTCGAGGTCAAATTCGAGTTCTTCAGCGAGTTTAGAGGGAGATTCCATGGAGTTTTATGATGAGCATCAACAGGATGAGGATAACACCAGGTATAACTCTTCTACTGCTTTTTTTTAGGTGTATGATTGATTGTGAATGAAAGTGTGGAACAGGATATTACTGTTAGGAAAGCATGGATTATTATTGGGGAAACAGTGTGAATTGTCTAAATTTGCTTATGTCTACTAGATTTAGATTAAAGCCCCTTGTTAATTGTTCTTCCATCCCTTGGAACTAGCTGCACAGTCGTGGCGGCACTTTGCAATTAAGCTTGTGGCACAATGTAAAGTAAAGCCTTTTATAAAAGTCACGGCATTAATCAATTAAGCATAGGCCATCTTGGGTTGTGACTCTTGTAAGACTATAGCAGCAATAGCACGATAGAGTAATAAAGTGTGAAATGTTGTAACAAATGCGTTTTTTTTGTTAGCTCGACGTTACTAATTGCTTTAGGGATTTTAAATGTTTGTCAATACGTACTGGCAGCATAAACCTATGGGACTTTATTGACTAAACAAAGCTGTGCAATTTGGATGAAGTAGGACTCTGTGTGAATCAATAAAACTAGTTTTTATGAAGGCTGTGTATACTTCCTTTGCTGTACAAAAATTTGCAAAGCTTAGCTATCATTTTGTTCAGCAGAAATGTACATGTGCCACTAGACTACGGGAATTTATACTCTTGCACCTTGCTATGCTCTCTGCTAGTAACACAATCATGATTTTTTGTCAACTCTCGATGTCCGAACTTGTATGATCTTTGGCGTTTTAATTCCATTTTTTATGAGCTGCAGTTTGCTCAAGACCATAACAAGGTCATTTGATGCAAATTCGTGACTATGTTCTCGTTAGGTAATCAGAACAGTATATACCTGGAGACTAGGTGTTGCTATTTTATGAGGGCTGTGGGTTTTTTTTGACCTGAGGAACGAAGATTTAAAGTGATTTATTAATCTGGGAGCAATTTACAACACATTGTATGTCAAGAATTTACTCCATATACCATTTCCACAATCACCTTTATCCTGCATCAACTACTGTCAACTTCAATCACATAACCCCTTTTTTCCAATGGCACATTTTTACGGCTACCATTTTTCCCTCTTTTTTAGCCTTCTTTGTTTTATTCTTCCTTTTGGAATGATCAAGCTGTGGTGATCAGGATATGCCTATAGTGGTCAAGAGGTGTCAGATATACGCCCGTCAATCTGTCAGGGCTGTAGCCAATCTCTCCATGGCTCCCCATGTTTTGATCTGGGGCCTCTGGGCTTTGCTATAACACACAGTCATGCACGCCTAAACCTTGGTGGTGATTTCAAGAACAGCAACTGGATTAGTGGTCTTGTGGTGAAATGAGCTGTAGCGGGTTCAGCAATTAACGAGAGAATGGCTGGTATGATAGATATAGAGCTGGACAGGTATAAATTTTGTCTAGGGTGATGGTCAGGATGAAGATTGGATTATGGTGATGGGAATTGGTGACTGTCTCTTGTGATGGCTACTTCGGCTGCATGGGGAAGAATGGTGAGAAGAGTAACAGTTTTGAGTTAAAGTATTTAAATGAATTCTGGAATCATTAGTAAGTAGACATTGATTTCATCTCCTACGAGTTGAAGAAGCCCAGCCAATGCCCTCAAGTAACAATTTTAGATTTGAAGCAAGAAGGATGGATCAATAACTATTTACTTGATTGTCTGTCGATAAACCCTTGGTTGCGATGATTGTTTGCTGTTTTAATTTAGGCATAGCTTAGATGAATTCACTATGTATCAGCCCATACTTCCTTATATGTGCTTTTCTTTGACTCTTTATTTTCCCCTTCTCTCTCTCCCTCTCTCTCTTAAGAGGGGGGGGGGGGGGTGGTAAAGCTGTATGTGTGACTGTTCAAATTCATCTTTTTCTTCCTCTCCTTTCTCACAACTTTGTCTTACTTGAGAACGTGCTACATGTGTTCATTAGCATTGCAAAATAAACTTTATTGTAGAGAAATAAAATTCGAGAATAATGAGATATAATTCCAGAATATTTCCAGAGGGGACCCGGGGGGGGGGAGAGAGTAAATGGATATAACTGGTTTATATTTTGATGTGTTATAAATGAACTATTTGAGCTGCTTTAGAATGTAAAACGATCTTTAAATAACTGTTTGTTGCATTTGTTTGCTCTGGCAGCGTTGCAAAGCATCTGGAGTCAGCAAATACAATGTTCTCATTTATTTGGTGGATCATTGGATTCTATTGGGTGTCTTCTGGTGGACCAAGTTTAGCAGATGATGCGCCTAAGCTTTACTGGTAAATTTCTTAATAGTTTTTCTATCATTTTGTACATACAAGCAATCTTTTTGCATCACTCTTACTTTTGTTACTCATATGGCATATGTTTTCACAGGCTCACGATAACATTTCTGGCATTTGATGTGTTCTTTGTTGTTATCTGCGTGGTGGTGGCTTGCATTATAGGCATAGCTGTCTGCTGTTGTCTTCCATGTATCATTGCAATTTTATATGCTGTGGCTGATCAGGTATGGTTGCTCATACTTCAATTTTTTTATTATTTATAATTTGGAATCGTCAGCTTTCTCTTCTCACATTATTGCATGTATCGCACAAATAGGAAGGAGCTACTAATGAGGATATTGACCGGTTGCCAAAGTTCAAGTTCAGGAGACTTGGCCAAATTGAAAAAAAGAGCGGTGAAATTCAAGAATCTCTTGGTGGAATTATGACCCAGTGCGGCACTGACCCACTTATTGAGCATGCTCTTCCAGAAGAAGATGCTGTGAGTCTTCTGAGCACTTGAAAAATTTTTGATATTAACCATGCTTTAAACTTAACCATTGATAGTTTTGGAATTTTTTGGTAACTTTGATGTCTGTACGGTCCTTTCATCTCTCTCTTTCTCTTTCTCTCTAAACTTGGCACACATTTAGGCGTCTGACCTCCCACCCACCTATTTTTTTCTTCCCACCTTAATCTTTGTGCCCTGATGCAATCTTGAGTTCTTGACTTTGAGTTGGGAGTTGGGACGGTAGAAATATTCTTTTGATTTGTGGAGAGGGAATGTCTGGTAGAAGTTAGATAAGCATGTGGAAAGTGGTTTAGTCTGTCTTTTTTCTTTAATCAGAAGAAGTACAGGGGAAGCTTCTCTTCTGTCCTGTATTTGATTTATAGTCTAGGACTAACATTAAGAGCACTTTAGCAATCGTGTCATCGAGAGGTATGGTACAATGGCTTTTGTAGCCAGTGTATGAGATCGTGCGTGGTTATGTTCTTTACTTCTGAACTGTGGAAACTGGATTAGTGACCTTAATATTTTCACAGTACATTCCCAGCAGAAGAAATTTCTTAGAAATTTGGGGTTACCCTATAGCTTTTCAAAGAAACTGGGAGGGGGGGTTTCCACCTATGTGGCTTGGCCTCATTCCCTTAAGAGCCAGTTGATTATAAGGATAATAAATGAGCTCTATGATTGCTTCACAACATATGTTATTGGTTTATTGTGAAAAGAAGTCAGAACAGAACAGAAGCCCTTTTTGTTTTTAATTTGTACTCGAATTTATGAAGTTACTTTATTTTTTATGCCTAATGTCAAAGTTTGTGTTATCCTTTCATGTTTGTTTGGATTATATGAGGGGTGGGGGTTTTGATTTGGCTTTATCCCGTGGGCAAGCTACTGTGGAGAAAAGGTTTGCTTGTGACTGCTTTGGATGTTTTATTAGTCTTTTGCATGTAGTGAGGTTTTATTGTTTTAATTCTGAATTTTAATAGGAGTGTGTGATATGCCTTACATCATATGAGGATGGGAGTGAATTACGTGAACTTCCATGTCGTCACCATTTTCACTGTACTTGCATAGACAAATGGTTACACATCAACGCTACCTGCCCCCTTTGCAAATACAACATACTCAAGAATGGCTGCCAAAGCAGTGAAGAAGTGTAGATAGGTCACCTTCTCGTGACTTCACAGCAAGTAGCTTAACGCTTTGTTTCACTCCGTCTGTGTGCATCGTACATATTGGGTCCTGTAGCCGACCAAGAATTATCTTGCTCGAGCTGCCCCACTGCAAATTGCTTTCAACCTTTTCACTAAGGATATTTATAGTGCTTGTAAATTTTTTTATTTTGCTGATGAGAGATGTACATGGTTTTGTAAGTTATTGTCCTTGTGTAGGTGGAAATTTATTCGCTCGTAATATTATCAGGATATCTAATCGTGTTGAAACAAGGATTAACATTTCATCTCCGTTTCCATCAACTCTTTTGTATGTTTGAGAGATAGAGGAAGGGAGGGAGGAGGAGCTGCATAATATGGATGTTCCATACTTTGGGTTATTCATTTTGATGTTCCAAAATCTCTCTTTTTTTGGAAAGAAAAATGTGTTAATCAATCGAATTTATTTATTGAATTCATTTCTTTCGGGATCATATTAAAGCAACCCTAATTACTACCTGTAATTCAGAACTTGGTAATTATACTACTGTAACTTACAGCATAGCTGAAATGTATAGTTTTAATACAAATATTATAAGATAGTTGTAAAAATGTCTGAAATAATCTATAATCAAATAACATGAAGTATGTTTGCAATTTGAATCATGCATGGCATGAATTGTACCACGCTGCAGGAACTCCAACAACAGTAGAAGTAGATTTTCTCCTGTCACCTAACAACGATGTTCTGAGCCATGGCTTTGGCCTATTATAATTCTGTCTATAATTAAACCCTTGTATTTCAGTTGTTTCTCGATATATTTGATTTCTTTCATTACGTTGATAACTATCTAAATCCCCCTTTACAGTCACGCTAAAATTTATTATCCCATTTGGTTCGCCATTACGATCTCTTAATCTATAACATAGACAATATTGGTAGTTTAGAGGCATTTTATCTCCAGTAAAATCTGAAGTCGGAACCTTAGCAATACCAATCAACTTAACGCTTGACCTCTTTTTATAACGAACCTCTAAGAGAATGAACTTCGTGTTTGTAGGCATGTCCATTATCAACTTCTCATTCCATTCAGGTTTCAAACCCTCACTACACAGTCTCGTTTGTAATTGGTTTGAATAACCTTGATTTTCCGTAGAAACTGTTACAAAAACATTTTTTCCAACGGGTTTATGATTTCCTATAGTCAGTGCTTCAGCTGACTTTATGATAATATCTAAGGAGTAGGAGGAGGTGGAAGGATACATTTGATGGAGTACAAATATAAATTTGGTTGAGCAAAGGTTGGAGTGGAATTGAAGGAATTGTGTTTGTCAATAATCTATCTATATATATATATATAGTTTAAATAGGGAAAGTAATTAGAAATAAGAGAGAAAGAGAAATGTTGTTTCTTGGTATTGCTAGAGAAAGAAGGTGCAATGGAAATTAAAGTATAACGGCAATGTTTTCGGCACATAACATACCAAAATTATTGGTTAATTTGTGGGGCCATGGGCTAGAAACTACTCCAAATATTGGAATTCTTGAGTTGACTCAGTAAATTATGTACTCCACTTAATACATTACTGTAACATTTAATAGTCAAATATTGGAATTTTCGAGTTTGAGTACCTTGTCAATTTTGTCACAGTGAATTAGTACTGAAGAAAGTTCTACGGTTTTACTAGTAAAAGGAATTGGCAAACTTTGATCTTAAGACACGTATTAAAATTTTGAAATGTTCCACGGTTACGTTAGCCAATGTATGTGAAATTCACTATTGAAAGATAATGGTGTGGAAGCGGAATTGTGGAAAGACTAATAAATAATGGAAGAAATGAAATCTATATTCATGCTTATATATTTTTGAGTTGCGGTAACTAGATTTATGTCCTCATCCTAGAATAATTAATAAGATGCACTTTTTTCACCACTTATATGTCAAATTCACTAAAAAAAAAAACAACTTCAATTTAGTATAGAGTACCTTATCATATACTTCCTTTGTTTTTCTTTTATTGCACTATAAAGACTTTTACAATATTCACTTAATTTCTTAGACCATCATTTGTAATTTATCCATTAGGAAAAACATAGTCATTTGAGATCTAGTTAGATTCGTATCGAAATTTACTTTTCAAATATCAAATTTTTATAATTTTTACAAAAGTAAAATTGATGATATTAATAGCTAAAGTAATGCATTGAAAAGTGTGAAATCCCTCATGGTGCAATAAAAAAAGAACGGAGAAAGTATGCAAAATTTAATCGTGTCAATTATTTTGAAACAAAGAAAGTAATATCTACTTTCAATTAGATTATCCTTCATCGTGTTCAAAGTTAGTGCCAAATATATACCATAGTATATTGAACCGAGATTTATTTATTTATTTATTTTTGAACGGAAAATTTACAAAAAAGAATTCACTCTTTTCTCGCATAAACAAATCAAAGAAAATGAGAAAATACGGAGAGTACAAAACAGGAAGCATATAAAACGACTGCGTTTTACATTATCCAGATGACCTTCAACAGACAACAGTTTCATGGTGTAAAATCACAAAAATGGCGTCTGCATCATCTTCTTCCTCACTCTCTCTCCTCTCCAATTCTCTCGCCCAACTCCACACTCGCCAACTCACAGTTCGACCGACCTCGAACCAATTTCAATGTAGAGCTTCCGGATCAACCGGATTCTTCACCAAATTAGGGCGCCTCATCAAGGAGAAGGCCAAAAGCGACGTCGAGAAAGTTTTCTCAGGTTTCTCCAAAACTCGCGATAATCTTGCCGTCATTGATGAGCTTCTATTGTACTGGAACCTCGACGACACCGACCGCGTCCTCGACGAACTCGAAGAGGTATTTTTCCATGATTTTTTGGAATTTTTTAGAATTAATTTTACTAGTAGTTGAAAATTGGTGATTTTGTTGTTGTGTTCTGTGTTCAGGCATTGCTTGTGTCTGATTTTGGGCCGAGAATTACGATTAAGATTGTGGATTCTTTGCGAGAAGATATTTTGGCTGGTAAGCTTAAATCTGGACCTGAAATTAAGGTATGATCATTTCATTTCATTATGTAATTAAAGATGATCAATTTTTATTACATTTCTTAGTAGAATGATAATTTTCTTTGGTTTTTGTAATAGAAAATGCATTCATTTTCAGAAATTATATTACTCCGAATTATAGTAACTGAACAAATTGGATGAGTTGAGATTTAATAATGTATTAAAGACAAACAACAATGAGTTGATGATTTATGATTGTCTGTGTTGTGTTACATTTTTTGTGATACGGCTTAATAGATAGGTAAGATTTGTCTAAGCATGTCACATTGCTACTTGTAAGACCATGCTTGATCAATTTTTTAATTTTAGTTTAGTAGAGTCATATATTGAGTACCTAGTTTGGTGTTGTGGAATGTTGGTTAGAAATTGAGGGATATTAGATGGTTTAGTAGTTTCCTAATGGTTGCTGCTTATGAAGGCGTTTGATTGCGTTGAAATATTGTCCGTTGAGTGATGATATTCATGAAAAAGCTTCAAATGTCCTTAAATAGAAATAGGATATGCAGTATGCTTAAATTTCCATACATACTTCCTCTTATACAAAATTGGGGAAAGAGTTGAAGAGTGAAAAAATATGCTTATAATTATCTTTGCCTAAATAGTACACAGATTGTACGTGAAAAGAGCTTTAAATTAGTCTAAGTCATGGCTACAAATTACTCCATTTGTGTGGGGGTTGGGATGATGTGGCTATCGATTCTGGATGGGGTACATATGGTGTTTTTTTTTGCTTTGGCGACTGGTGTTGAAAATCACTTCCATTGATTTTCATCTGTGTAGGATGCCTTGAAGAGGAGTGTTCTCAAGTTGTTAACTGAGAAAGGAAGTAAGACAGAACTTCAGCTGGGATTTAGGTCCTCAATCTGTGAATCTTACATACTATCTCCATTTTTTTTACGCTTTGATGATTTATTGCCTAGTCTTGTGAGATTTGTTGGTTCACCTTGATTTATGGTTTAATTATGTCAAATTTTATAATTTTAGATATTAGTAATTAAAGATGTTATTCATTGAAATATTGCATTGGCAAGCTTGAAAAATAAAAAGCAGTGTATTAAGTTAAAAAAAAAATACAATACAGAGGAATTATTTGCATAGTTAAAATCATCTGGGCTGCTGGGCTTGGAAAACTCAACACACTGTTGGTTGTTGCCCTGTCTTGTAGGAAACCTGCTGTAATCATGATAGTTGGTGTTAATGGAGGCGGAAAAACAACTTCTCTTGGTAAGTGCATAACATGATTCTTCAGATTTGCTTTTAATCTTGTCATAACTATTACGAAGTATCTTATATCCTGTCTTTCTTTGCAGGGAAGTTGGCTCATAGATTGAAGAAAGAAGGAGCTAAGGTTAGTTTGGAGTCTTTCCCTCAAGCTTAGCCTTAGTGCTTAAACTGTGATTTTTTTATTTATTTATATTTTTTCTGTTTCTTTTGGGTGAGTAGCCTGTTATTCTACGGGAGTTACTAAATAGTGAGAAATACTCATTCATACTTTATAAAAGACCTGAGTAGTGCAAATCCTGATGATTAATCTACTGCACAAAATTCATAGAAAAAATTTATTAACATCATAAGAGGGATATTTTTCAGCTATGGAAGGGGCATTAACAGTGCTAAATCTATATTTTCTTGACCTCATGTTATCTATTGTTTCAGATACTATTGGCAGCAGGTGATACATTTCGAGCTGCTGCAAGCGATCAGCTTGAGATCTGGGCTGAGCGAACAGATTGTGAAATTGTAGTGGCAGAGAAAGAGAAGGCAAAAGCATCGTCTGGTGGGACTTCAAAACTTAAAACGTTTTAGTATAACAATAGGATTCCTGTGTTAGGCCTCTTGGCTGATGACAGATGACAGTGCAAACTGACATTAAGATTGTGCTTTCTGAATAGTTCTTACTCAGGCTGTTAAAAGAGGAAAGGAAGACAAATATGATATTGTTCTATGTGATACATCTGGCCGTAAGCGCTCTGCATCTCTGAAAACATCTGTTGTATCTCTCTTTTTTTTTTTTGGGTGGTTTTATTATAAGCAACTTCATTTCCTTAGGTCTTCATACGAATTACAGTCTCATGGAGGAGTTGATAGCCTGTAAAAAAGCTGTGGGTAAAGTAGTTTCCGGTGCTCCTAATGTAAGAAGCTTATTAACTTCCATATCATTAGAGTTGCTATTTAATTAGAGTTGCTATTTAATCCGGAATGTGTTTTGATTTCGCAGGAGATTCTGCTTGTTTTGGACGGAACAACTGGTTTAAATATGCTTCCTCAGGCCAGGGAGTTTAATGAAGTATTGCCCCTAACCTTATTTTTATACTGCAAGCTCATTTGCTTTGTTTGGCTGTAATGTTCCAGCTGTCTAGCTTGATGATCCATCTTTGCCCTTCATTGCGGAATCGTTTGCCAATATCTGACTTGTTGGACCTCTTCACTGGCAGGTTGTTGGAGTGACTGGATTAATCTTGACAAAACTTGATGGTTCTGCAAGAGGTGGTTGCGTGGTAATTACTTTTAATCCAAATCTTTTCTGGACATGATTATTCTATTTCTTTGGTATTCATCTCGACTGTTAAATTGGCATGCAGGTCAGCGTGGTAGATGAGCTTGGCATTCCTGTGAAATTTGTGGGTGTTGGTGAGGGCGTGGAGGATCTTCAACCTTTTGACGCTGAAGCCTTCGTTGATGCCATATTCCCATAATGTGTAATTGGTGAGAGGTTATATTGATGGACCTAATTTTGGTTAACATGCACATGCATCTGAATTCTGAAGTGACTAAAACCATTCATATTAGTCAATCTATCCTACATGATCTTAGGCACAACCTTCCTAATAGTTGCCTATTGTTGTAAGGTTGTTACACATGGACCCTCCCTACCACAATGGAATTATCTCGGGTGATGATTATTAATGTGGCAAACTGGCAATACATTGATCATGAACATTCCTCCCTTTTATTTAGTCAGAAGAGGAAATTATTGTAAGATGTTCAAAGAAAGATCATTCAGTTACTTTGTTTTGCTTACTTGCTTAGGTGTTGTATGTATCTTCACAAGATTTAGCCAACCGAATGAGATTACAATTTAGAAACTGCAAGCTAAATTGCGAGTCAAGTAACTGAAGCTGAAAGATAGATGACCATCATGGTGATATAGGATGCAGTTACGGAGATTGAAGCACGCCAAGGAAAAGCCCTCGGCCAAAATATCAATGTGTTGTCCATGATTTACATACTCCGAGTTATTTATTGTGCTAGTACATCCTTTGTAATCTCTCAGGTAGCCTAGATAAATGCAAAATTTTCACTCACTGATGTATTATAACTTAATGCCAAAATTGTACAAGGTTCTTGCTCTATTATTATTATGAGCTACTTTGTTGATGGGAGATATACCTGTAGAGTGGCTTCATCTTGAAATGTATCAACATAAAATGTAATTAATGATAATTTTTTGAAATTTTGGAAGTTGAAAAGTTCCAATATGTCCTCAATATACATTATTACCCTGATCAATTACAACTTCTACACAACATGGGATTTCCTAATGAAGAAATTGTAATAATACAGCTATAATTTTGCTGCAGGGAGTTGATGAAAAGTAGCTTGAGCAGTGTAAAGCAGCTTCTTCGTCTCTTTTAGTCTGATTTCAATTGATACTACGGTTAAGTTTCTTCCACTCCTCACAACCGATCCAACAGCATTCAACTCGGCCTGCATCACATAGTACTAAAGTTAGACGATCAACTTAACTAGTCACTGCAATACAATCTCCCAGTTTCCATTGATATTAACTTACATTCATGGGAGCAGAAGAAAGGTAGGAAATGCTCAGCTCGACAAGAAACAAAGGCTTCTCCTCTGCTACTATGGTTCGAGCACACGCTATGGCTAGCCTTTCAGCTATACTTGCCACTGCTCCTCCATGCAACCCCTTGTAGTAGTTCTGAGACAATACATCAAACATAATTCTACTAATTAAGTTGATTACTCTTTGATCATGCTATCTAACTGCATTCTACAGTCTATAAATCAAAACCAAAGACCAAGAACATACTTCGTATAAGAATAATAAGTTAACGATGCCACCAATTCGAAATTTTTACATGAAGATTTAGCCTTATATTTGTTTTGATTGGCACATTTATGCTCATAAACTCCAATTACTCGTTTCGTTGCCAAGTGAACAGTTCGAACTATTGTATACTCGAATTATTTGCTTATTTGTTGATTAAATGAGCAAATAAACCGGGTGTACATGACAAATTCTACATGAACCAATATAAATCTAACTACACCGTAAATAAATAACACTGAAATCCAATTCATTGGGATTATACACACTCATAAACTATAAATCTATGTAGTATAATAATTTGAAGAAAAATATTCTTTAATGTAAAAAATCACCAAATTCGAAAAAATAATTAACAAGTACAATTAGCAATAAAATAAATATAATCATCATAGAATGTTAAATTAGTAAAGTAGTGAAGCTTACGGCAACAGAAGGTAGGACGGAAAAGGAGCAAGAAACATGGCCTCGAGAAATGGAATCAACTTTGAGAATATTGATCAATAATTCTGATATTAAGTCGTGATTAGTCAAAATTTTTGGGAGTTGAAGAGAGATGCCCAGACCTTGAAAGAATTGCAGTGTTGATGATTCAATAGTCTCTTCCTCTTCAATTTGTTGTTGCTCCAACTTTTTCTTTGAATTTTCCATCGCAAATTTCCCCCAATTATTTGATTTTTGAAGAGAGAGAAAGTTAGAGATTGGGGGACGGGAATTAGGGGTACTCGTACTCCGACTATTGGGGGTAGGTCTGACTTGGTAACTTGGTAAGGTTTCTATTTTCAAGACTATGATTTGAATTGAATTGAATTACTCGTATTAAATTTTGTATTAAATATGAAAGGTACGGGATATCATATTATTTTCGTAGCTTTCAAGACTTTATGTCAAAAATTATCGGGAGTGTAGGAGATGTATCATGAATTCATATAATATTGTTTGAAAATCATATACAACCATTAGTCAATCACATAATGAATTAATGGAACGAGACGACCTTAAGCCAATGAAAGGAGACAAATACGTAAACAACAAAATCGACAATTTGGGTTCGTTTGACATTGCTTTGGTTTTATTTTTTTATTTTTTTTTTTTTTTTTTGTTTTCTAAAAGTATATGATATGAGTCTAATAATGAATCAAAAATTATGTAAACTTATTAAAATTATGATAATTTTGAAAACTGACAATAGAAAAGTGAAAACACTTTTTTCTTATTTCTTGTTTTTGGTTTTTGGTTTTCAAAAAAAAGGAAACTGAAAACCAAAACTGATGCCAAACAAAGAAAAGAAGTTAGAAATTGAGATTAATCAAACAAGACTATCACATAAGTATATAACTATATTTTTTGTTCCGCATGTATCAAAGTATATATGATTTAAATTGAGAGAGTAGGAAAAGAGTCAATATCCTAATGTTTGCAACTAAAATGGAGCAAAATATTACTATATATATTGGTGTTGTGTTTGATACTCACCCATCCATGTTACTTTTGTTTTATTGTTTACAAAATCTTTACATACAATTGTTTATTCCTAGCTCTTATGAAATGAATTGTATGAATGGAATGGAAGCCTAGATTTGATAGTCATTTTTAAAATGACCACAATAAATCATCAATATGATACTCATGTTCTCTTTAAATAAAATAAAAAGATTTCTCATAAGTATAGTACACACAATGTTTTCTATAAAGAGTACGTATAAATTATAAGATGCGTTTATAACTCTATGTAACACGTGGTACATACCTATAAAGATTTGCGTGTTGGGTCTTTCACATGCTCGCCCAATGCCCATGACGGACAACACCTAATGTGAACGAGCTTGTGAAGAGCCAAAGAGCACGACACGCCTTCATAGCTAATAATAATCCGAATACATCAATACAACTATACAAGTACTATTAATCGAATCATAAATCTAGCACATACACATCATAATTTTGAGATAGGGAGGTGATAGAAAGTAGCTTGAGAAATGTAAAGCAGCTTCTTCGAATCTTTTGGTTTGATTTCAATTGATACTACTGTTAAGTTTCTTCCACTCCTCAAAACCTTTCCATCAGCAACCAACTCAGCCTGCACCATATATAGTACTTCTAAGTTAGATTTTTTTCATTAATAACTCGTAATTGCAATAAAATTGTCTAGTTATATTCTATGACTTACATTCATTGAAGCAGCAGAAAGGTAGGGTATGCTTTGTTCACCAAGAAACAATGGCTTCTCCTCCCCTACCATGGTTCGAGCACACGCTGTGGCTAGCCTTTCGGCCACACTTGCCACTACTCCTCCTTGCAACCCCTCATAGTAGTTCTGAATGAAATTAAATACCATACATGATTATGAAGTTTAAATTACTCAATGTATGATCATCGTGTACAAATAAAAGTATAGTGGCACATTAGCACGTACCAGGTTAAAACCTTTTGAAGCTTATCCATGACCATGTAATTTAAATCAAACTCTAACACATGGAATACTTGTCAAATCATAGAATGTACGAGTACTTCATACTTCGTATAATTTTTTATTTCATTTATACACCTTTTTATTACACGCAACACACACATATTGTTATTGAAACTTTGAAGTTTCCAAAAAAGAAACAATAGGTGTATTACATACTTGTATAATCAGATCAAAAAATTAAGATCAGATCGAACTAGATCTTCATATATGGAGCATTTTTTACTTTGATTTGCTTTATTATCAAATATTTTCATTATATATTGTTTAAAATTAAAAATTTAGAAAATTAATCACTGAGATATGTCGTGTAATATCCCATCTAATAGTATTTTTAAGCATTAGTGTACAAACGCAATCATACAACTATGCAAGAGATCAGATCAAATAAATTTTAGACTACACCTTAATAATACAAGTACATATCAAATTAACACACACACCTAACACCTTATATGCTAGGTGAAGAGAACATAACCTTAGCATAAACATATTTATGTTACCTTATACAAGTCAATCTAACTTGAAATAATTCGCACTTGTACAAAACCTACAATTTTAACTACTACGTAATATATATGATAGGGGAAAAAAAATGTGCATAATCAATGTATGGAATGTTAAGTGTTGATAAGTGGGAAAGGAGGTAGAACGAGTATGTAGTAACTTACGACGAAAGGAGGTAGAACAGAAAAGGAGCAAGTAACACGACCACGAGAAATGGAATCGACTTTGAGAAAACGAACCATTGGTTGTGACATGTAGTCGTGACCATTGGTGTTTAAGGGCAGTGACTCAATTGAGCTACCCAATTCTTCAAAGAAATCTAATGTTTTTGCAACAGCTTTTTCTAAGACTATTTGTTGTTCATGTTGATGGTCTACTTTTTTCTTAGATTCATCCATTTTTGCAACTCCACAAATCTTTCAAAAATAGGAGAGAGAAAGTGAAAAGAAGGAGAGATCACTTATCCTAAATAGAGCAAGTGGAGTATGTGGTAGTGTGATATGGTAGGTGTTTCTAGTTCTATGTAAAGGTGCAATAATGATGTGATAAATTGTCAATAATAATGTAAATGTGCATAGTTAGTACACTATTACACTAATACATTGCTCGCAAAAAAAAAAAAAAAAACTCTAATACTACGTACTAGTACTCTTTAATGAGGGTTGGTCTAGATATTTTAGGGAAGTATCCAATGGTATCCCGACCACTTTTACTCATCACTCATCAGAGAAAAATGTTTCGTACATTTGTACTCTCTCTTGTATTTAATTGTTACATCTTTTGTGGTGGTGATAACCACAAAAAAAAATTACTGAAAAAAAAAAAAAAATAGCAGTGTTAATGTATTGAACTGTTATCAGTCTTATCACTGTTAGCGCCTAGCGGTTCTTTGAATTAAAGAAAAAATAAAATAAAATGTGATATTATTTAATTAAAAAGAATCATTAACGGTGTTTGTGCTAATTCAAAATATTTTTAAAAAATGAATAAATTTAATGAACCTTACACCAATCCTACATGGACAATATGGTGAAAATAAATAATTTTTTTGTATCAACGCAAATAGGGAATTAATTTACATTAAAACAATTTATAGGAAAATCGTTCCTTACAAACAAATCCCTACCTTATTAAAAAGTGAATAATTGGTTGTAGGTGACCCAGGTGGGCTCAATCCGACTTTAGGCAGAATACAAACATAAAAATTCGGTTTTTTTTTTTTGGTAGGACAAATCATGGGCAAGCATTTTATACAAGAATCTTCCAAACCATAGATTAATATGGTTCCAATAATATAATATTTGACTTGAGCCTAATCAACCTACGAAATATTACATACATGAACTGTTATTAATTAATTACAGATTTAGGCCTTGTTCACTTCAGTTTAAAAAAATAATATTCTGTAAAAATAATTTCAATTCAATAAAATTAATTTCAGTTCAATAAACTTAATTTCAGTTCAGCAAAAATAAGTTCAGTTCACCAAAAATAATTACAGTTCAGTAATAATAATTTCAGTTCAATAAAAATCATTAAATTTAAAGAAGAAATAATAATAATTTTAGTTCAGTAAAAATAATTTTAGTTCAGTAAAAATAATTTAAATTCAGCAAAAAATAATTACATTTCATTTAAAAAAAATTTAATTCAGCAAAAATAAAGTGAAATGAACGGAGCTAGGTAACGCTACCACAAATCTACAATGTAATAGCCGCCTTCAATAGACTGCTAACATAATTTTTGGACACAAGAAAAGATAGCCTACCAAATATTTTTTTTGTAAATTTCTAATTCAAAAAGAATGGTGACAAGCTGGAAAATGGGTCAATAAAAATAATTAAGAGAGACTAATTAATTAAGTTCCCATATAAATGAACTTTGTCTTTGACATTCCCATTCTCTGTTTTCTGTCTCTCCTCGTTTTTTCTGAGAAAAACCAAAAGAGAGACAGAACAATTTTATTCATAAACATTAAATTCATTCAATTCCAATTAATTTTTCAAACCAAAGTTTTAATTTTTATTATTGGGATTTGAAGAAAAATGGCTCAGGGAAAGCTTGAAGTCCTCCTCGTCTCTGCCAAAGGCCTTGACAACTCTGATTTCCTCTGTAATTTTCTCTCTCTTTATTTTTATCTTAATTTTTGTTGATCATTTTATATTGATCTCTTGATATCTCTTGATCTCACATTAAGAAAATTGAAATGTTGATTTTTTAGATTTGAGATTTTGATCAAAGAAAGTTGAGATTTTTGTTTGATTTAATGGTGGACATTATATAATTAGGACAAGAAATTTGCGATTATGATGAATTGATTGTTATTTGCTAATGATCATAATTTTGTTGGTCAACTTTCTTTCAACCTAACCCACCTCTAATTGCGGGAGAATTTTGATCTTCATCTTTTGACCCTCTTTTTGTTAAAGTCTTTACATTTTATTGTTACTCCCAAATTATTTTATTCCTAGTTTTAAGGTTTCACTTTTCTTTTGTTGTCGGACTCACTAGGGGTGCAATTTCTTATATACACCCGAGTGTACCTCCAAATTAATATATTCCTTGTTTTATAGTTTCACTTTTCTTTTGTTGTTGGATTCTCAGAGAGGTGCAATTTCTTACATACACCCGAATGTACCTAAGGTCGGGAAAATGTGAGATTTGTTAAATGAGATATTACACCTAAACGAAAGGCAGATTATTGACAAGTATTAACAATTATCTTTAGTGTAAAAGTTTATATATGATGTGTTCAATGGAATTATAACAAAATGAATGTGGGTTATTTGGCCATTGATGATATGTAATCATGATTCCTAATTTCTTTCTTGTTTTGTTGAGATTTCTTTATTTGAGTCTGAATCTGGTCCATAGAATACCATTATTTTGAATAATAAACATTAATATCATTGTTTTTTGTTGCTAAGGTAACATGGGGGATTTTTTCTAAAGATAATAACATGACAAATTGTGTTCAATAACTACCTTAGCATTATGTCAAATAAGATGGAATCTTAATTTCCAACCCAACAAGTTGTCTCTTAAAAATGACATTTTATCATACTATATGTTATAAATTGATTGAATGTTTGTTGATGTTATTCAGCTAGCATGGATCCATATGTCATTCTTACTTGCCGCACTCAGGAACAGAAGAGTAGCATTGCGAAAGGTGTGTCTTAGGCTCTAAAACTCGCACCAGTATGGTCGCGTATTTCATTTGATGTGCAACTAATTGATAAGTACTAGCCATCCCTTGTATGCAAACTAATGGAAAAGCCGAAAACTAACTAAGCTTGTCATATTGATGAACCATGGCAGCAGATGAAGGATCAGCCCCGGAATGGAATGAGACATTTTTGTTTACTGTCTCAGGACATGTTCCTGAACTCCATCTCAAACTTATGGACAAGGATACCTTTACTGCTGATGATTTTGTTGGCGAGGCAAAGTAAGATGGATAGAATTGTTGTCTGATAACCTTAAGTATAGTCCACAAAATTTTAGAAATCGCGTCTTTTGGTAAGATGATTACTGAAGACAATTCTGAAAGTTTTCACCTGTTTGTCATTGCAGCATTCCTCTGAGTGTAGTTTTTGAGGAAGGAAGTCTTCCACCAACATCTTACAATGTAGTCAAAGATGGAGAATTCAAGGGGGAAATCAAAGTCGGACTTACTTTCACTCCTGAGGTAACCACTAATCTGTAACTTATTGTGACAATATGGTGATGTTCTGTAACTGTTTTAACTCCTTGCAATTAGCTAGTGCGCGATTGTCTCACTTGAGACTCCATCAATATCCCAATGCGTGATCAATGATCTATATATAATTAATTGCAGGCATACCATAGCCGTGATCTTCCAGAGGAGGAATTCGGAGGATGGAAACAATCATCATACAACTAAATTAGAGAGTACTAGCTACTGCAGGTGGTGGTGCAATTTACTTGTTTCTTTGGCATTTCAGCAATCAGAAGACGTCAGATTTTTCTTACTGCTAGGACAGTTCTTTTTGTCATATTTTTAGATTTTTCTGTTTGTTTCAATTTTGAAGTACTTCACTAATCACCTGAGTAACTGAGTTTGTTTGAAAGTTATGAATTTTAATGGAACAATATTTTTACAATATTCAAGATTGTTGGTAAGTCTACCTTTTACTTGGTTTCAATTTTTGATGTAAGTAGCAATACATTTTTTTATAGAATTTTGCATTCAAGAATTAAAATTAAAATAAGGAAGAAAAAAAATATATTGGATTCGTCATAGGGTTAACTAATGGAAAACTTGAGGTACAAGTTTCCAATCCTGTCAAAAAAACAAGTATCTGAAACAAATTGGAAAACAAGCTGTAAGATTAACACCAGGTGCCGCAATTTTGTATGGTACTCTAGGAGTACTTAAGACTAATTCGCACTCGCATTAAGATTGTAACAAAGAATATGTTCTACAAGTTAAAATTTACAGATGGGGCAACTTCACCCAATAAAAAACAAAAATCAAAGTGGAGGAGAATGGGGAGAGAAAGACGGACAATGTGTAATGTCTACAACAATAATACAACAACAGTAAAACTAAGTCATGAAATCAAGCCTGAAAGACTCGCTTCCTGCAACACTGTGCCCATGAGTTAAGTAGGAGAAGGTAATCCCAATTCCTTACATAGTTCATCATCAGGGTGCAAGGTGCCGGGGATAGCACCAAATGCCGTTCGTGTAAACTCAGTACCCGATACTGTGTTATGTATGTATGCTGAGGCATCTTCCAATTTTTTCTTCACATTAGAGGAGGATAAGGAGGCAAACTTTTTAGAGGAGGATGTTCTAGAAAGTTTGGGGGTTGTCCCTTGGTCCAACTCAGCGGCCTTTAGAAATCGTTCTGTAGAAGCTGCCCATGACAACTCGTGCCTCTGTGAATCAGTCAAGGGGGCTGGCTGTTCAGCCAATGCTTTACGTGTTGTTGCAACAAATTCTTCACCATCGTCATACATACGACAGTTAGGGAATTGCTTAAAGAATTCATTAGATGGATGGTTGGCACACACGACAATCTTTCCCATGGCTAGTGCTTCCGCTGTTGTCGTGCAGACTACATCTGTTGTGCTTGGATTGAGGAACACTTTGTAACTGAAAAATACAGTGCAAGGAAACAGATATAAGAGAAAGGTATTTCAAAAAAGCGACAACTTGTAAACTTTACTTTATGTTAACAGTGAGAAATGTTAGATAATTAATTTGACCATCAGTGTCACAAAATCACTAGAGAGAACATTATGGTAGAAGCCCATGACAACTCAAAATACAAATGTGGCTATAGAGGACAGACAACATACGACACTAAAGAAGCAGAAAATTCCCTTATTCTAGTCTTGTTTCTTTAGATCTAGTAGACTAGAATAGGTAGACTGAGCAAGGGCGTATGGTGTCTATACTCTATACTATCTAAATAAGAGTATCAGTTGACTCACACACCCACAAAACTAAAGTGGTCTCCTTATTTCACAATGTAAGGTCATTGACAAGGCCTCATTCAATTAGATTTCATGGCCTAAGCCCTCTTGGCTGTTGACAAACACAAGGCTAAGAAGGCCCTTATAGAAGATTTTCATCCATGAGCTTAAGATCCTTCCAAAAGCATTTAAAGAAAATCAAGGGGAACCACCTCAGCAAGAAATGACCTAGGCATGGGCCATAGGCCTGTACAAGTGTATCGCACAACATCATTTTACTCGCTTACTTAAAATAATCTATATCACATGAGAAAGGAGTTGAATCTACAACAAATTTTACTGACAGGCACTACAAAATGAATTTCTGTGGTGAAATGTTAAAATTGAACCTAATTAATTGTCTCTTGCTGAAAACATTGTGAAAAAGGGAATACAAAACATGAGGCTAGAACTTACTCGTGAAACAGGGGATCAGCATGATCTCGTCCAGGATGGACTCGTACAGGTAGTTCCAGTTTCTTAGCTGCCACCTTGACTTCATTAGAGTCCTCTCCATTACCATAGAGGTCTACTTCCAGACCAACTAGCTCTTTCTGATGGTCTTTAAGAAGTTTAAGCAGCTCCTTGTATCCTTTATTCCAAATCATTTTACCTATGTAATAGGCTCCTTTAGTGAAGGCGAGTTTCCCATCTTCAAGTTCCTCTTTCTTTTTTTTGCCAGTCTCAAGAAATTTGGGATTTACTCCATGGACATTGCATATTACAGATCTTGGAAGGTCCTGAGTGGCTGCAGACAATCGAATTACCTGTTAATGATGTCATTAATACGATTAGAGAGCATAAAAATATGAAGTAAATAAGTAACTAAATAATATAAATAAATAGTCAGGGTGGCACATAAAAGAGATTGAACAGCCATAGATTTCATATATACATGAACAGGAATCAATTTGTTCACACTTTACACTTTGTAGGTGACTAAGTTGCAAGATTATTTGCAAATTCTCTATATTATTGGAAGGGGAGAAGACAAGTTTAGATATTATGATCACAGAGGCAAAATGATTAGTCTCTAATGAGTGCTGCAAAGAGAATTTGACTACTGTCTTTCACAGGAAGATTCTGCAGGCTAGAGTTTGCATAAAGATGAACCATGACAAGCTTAAGAGTAAGAATGATTTCCCTCAACTCGCTAATTTTCCACTGGAACTCAAACAGCATAATATAAGGCCTCTTTTAGACGCAAGGGACTGATGTCATAATCTATGGCCTCATTTAGAATGCAATCATGCATATGTTGATATTAGTTCTGAATATCATCTGCATCCCTTAATATAGAAAAGACTTTACTAAGTTAAGCAATAGTAAAAGAAAACCAATTCCCACGGAAATGAGCAGAGTCTTAAACATCCACCTTGTCGCAGTAGATACTGATCACCCAACTATTTATATGCTTCAGAAGAAATGCTTGGGCAGCATTTTTCTCTCGTCTAACATATTCTAGGTAATTGGTGTGGACTATCCCAATGACCAGCCGGAACTTTGCTTTCCATCTATTTCCATGATGATACCATGTTAGATGCTCAGGTTCCTCAAGGACCGCAATGTCCGCCTCTTCATCTGATATAATTTCAGTAATATCTCCCACAGGAAGAATACTCCTTTTATCTGTAGAAAACTGCGGTAAGGGTTTAATCTGCAGTTGTTAGTACCAGGTAAAAAAAATAAAAAAAATAAAAAAATAAAAACTTTGAATAAGAAACAGATTACTTCCCCCACACCAGAGAACAACTCAAATTAATGGCTTATATTATCATGCACAAAAGCAGGTATTTTAAGGATTCAAAAAATGTATACACAAGGCACAAATAAAACTTCTGCAATGAAAAAGCAATGAAGCAGACATTGACAGCATCATTGGCATTAGGCTTGCTCCATTTCTCTCTCCTGTCCTCCCTTCTACAGTTTTCTAAAGATTTTGGTATGAGAAATTCATATAAATAGGGTACAAAATCTCTTTAAATGATTATCAGACAAAGACAAACAGCAAAGATCAATAGTCAAATCAATTATTTTAATATCAACTTTTGCTACACAGAGTTCAAGAGCCTTGAATAATTAATTGAATGGACCTAGCAAACTAACATCAATATATTCAAGCTTGAAAGAACCCACCTAACTGACATCAACATTTATGCTTGAATGACCCCAACCGTACTAACATCAATGTATTCAAGCTTGAACGAACCCAACCATAATAACATAAGAGTTCTGCTATCATTGTCGCCACAACAGCAACAGTTTGCAGCAGACAAATTACTCATTAGACATAACACATTAGTCTAATAGTAGTACTTACCCTTCCAGGATAAAATTTTATTTCGAACCGAGATATAAATCCAGTCCTGTCTTCAAGCCATTTGCGAACATACGCCTCATGCTCTAGGGCTGACTTGAATGTTATGTTGTCAGGGTATACAAGTCCTTGATCTTTAAGAGACAACCAAGGAATTACCAGAGTAACCTTCCTCTCCCCATCTTTTGCAAGATAGCAAGCACGAAACAATGGATTTACAGCAGTACCAGTCATCCATGGTAAGCTGGCAGTGGTATATATTGCAATTTGCTGCTTCTTAGTCATTTAGACATCAGCTTGAATGTAGAATAAGAACAATGAGAATAAATGTTGAAAAGAACTTGGTGCAAACCGAGTATTCAAGGCTCTCTTTGACAAACCGCGATACGGATCAAACTGAAATGGAAAACAGTGATTACAAATTATGCACTGGTAAAGTTCTCTATCAAAAGAAACTAAGATAAAAAGAAGCCAAATGTAGAAGACAACAGAGAAGTCACTAGTCGTATACAAGCATCGTACTTGAGTAACTTGACTAATTGACTGTGACCATGTCTGTGGCAGCAAAATTCACAACGCAACTCAACGCTTCCCTCCTGACCCCAAAATCCCAAATCCCTATTCCTGATCCAATTTGGGGCAACTAAATCTAATAATTGCTGATTACAACCTTAGCTAGAATAAGCCATTCAAAATTTCAAATGACACAGCTAGTTTGCATCTTTGTCTTAAGCCTCACGTACTGTCAACCTTGATCATTATTGGCATTCTGGGGATATTTGATCTGTATCGCATATCCTCCTTCTTTCCATAACCTCCAAATTATTGAGAATTGTGACAATAGAAGCTATAATATCCAGTACAGCCCTTCCATGAGAACCACTCTTGCAGAAGTGCTGCTAAAACTTAATGCACGTCATTGATATGTATAAAACTGTCATATGATGGAATCAATATTAAATGAAACTGCTTCATATTATCTCTATGTAAACTTTTATCGATAATGTAGCTTCAATCACTGGGCATCACACTAAAGACAACTCCCACCAAAAAAAAGAAACTGCTCACATTAGATTTTCATTTCGCATAGCCCAAAGTTTCCATATTGCCTCCAGAGTCCAGTTTCATACAAATGCCCTTGTATGTGGATAACTGTTTTCCCCAGTTAATAATCATCAATAATTTAGTAAGATGTGCTAGTTAGGCTTGCTAATTCAATTATCCACCAATATCATACCATAATATCATATCATTTCCCCAAAACCAATATCACTAATAATTTCAATGCAAAAAACCAACATAGCATTTCTCCAATGTCCACTCTCAATAACCACCATAATTTATCCAATTCACCAAGTTCACTATTCATTTCTTCCTTAAAACTAAGTACAAATGATTTACCCAATTCCATTAATTATTCTTTCCTAAAACCCATGTCAATTAAACAACCATTTCAACACCCAGGACAAACTAATGAAACATTTAAGATCAAATTTGACATATCAAATCCCCTAATCAGCATATATGAGTTCTTCAAAACCTTAAATTGATCATACATACTTTAATCTGATCTAATACCTTTAACTATTCATAAATACTGCAATAAAAAATAAAGAAAATCATATTTTGCAAATGAAAATTCCAACTTTCTTACAAACCCTTGAATCAATCCTCAAAAATCCCAAAATAGAACAACCCCGCATATAAAATTCAACAAAAATACAACCCCATCTTACATAACGAAGTATAAAGGTTTCAATTTCATCCCATTTTAGGAACAATCAAAATTAACACTGAGAAAGTTTCAAGAAGTTAAAAATTGTACCAGTAATTCGTCCAAAATTTTGGAAGATTGATGAAGAGTCAGCTTCACTCTTGGAGTACTTGTCTTCCAAGCTGAGAAAAATAGGAGAGAGAAAATGAGAAAGTTTTGCTTGACTGGCGGTTGATTTATATACAACGAACAACGAAGAAGAAGAGAGAATCTGCTGTATAATTCATTGGTATTATTAAATAAAGATGAAATGAAAAGAAGTAAACGCTATTCAAACGAATATTCGTTACTAAGATTGGTCGTTGCGCACATGTTTAGCCTTCCCTACTGCTCTTGTATGGGCCCATTACATGAACTTTCTTAAGTTAGTACTTGTACAATTCTATTTTTAGACCATTCTCAGCAGTGAGGAAAAAAAAAACCTCTCAATCTCTCTCTACCCACTTTCTCACTCCTCCCATACAATTTCTCTCATCAAATGTTTTTTTCACCACAGCAAGAGGAGAAAAAAAACCTCTCATCACTTTCTCCTCCACTATTTTTTTAATTTATTTTTTAATTACGTTTAAAAATAATTTAATAAAAATTTATAATTACGTTTAAAAATATTAATAATACTAACTAGAATTTTTTTTTATAAGAAATAATTATAATAATAATAATAACAAGAAGAAATTGGGAAAATATGTTAATTTCTCTAATTTATGGGTTTTTTTGAAAGTATATCAAAATGCATGTCTATTTATAGAGAAAAAAATTTTATGGTCGTTGGTGAATTTTTTTTTTTTTTTTTAAAATAATTACAACGATTATATTTCAAATACAAAATATAACCGTTGTAAAAAAACAACAAAAGCAGTGGGGGCCACATGTTACTGTTCATCACCAAAAGCCCTCAACTCTTGAGGGTTTTTATTTTCACTCATCGGTGAGTGTTTTTTCACTCACTGATGTAGTGTTCGGATTTTTTTTTTACACCCTTATTTTTACTCGTGAGGGCTTTTCTCCTCACTGCTGGGAGTGCTCTTATCACACCCCACCCAAATATTGAAATTTTGTAACTTTCTTAAGTTAGTACTCACCAATAAATTGGGGTTCGCAGTCCCTGACCCGAACCCGATCTGAAGTTACTAAGAAAAATTAGGACCTGATTGGAATTGAACTCGAATAGTCTGAATTCGATCCTATTAGACCCAAATTTCATATTTCATAATAATATTAAGTTTTACACTATTTTTTTTATAGTTTTATGCATAATCCGAAATTGACCCGAACTGGACCTGCTGACTCGAATTGTCACCCATACAGTAGATGCTTTGATCAATTATTAAAGGGGGGGTTTAAGTTTTAACTCATTCAAGGTCTTCCAATCAAGACATAAGAATGCATCAACATTTGTTGGAAGAGCTTTTTTTTTTTTTTTTGCATTTCGATTAAAAAGCCATAATCTAGTAGAGTTTGGATTATTATGTAGATTTACATAAAAAAAAAAAAAAATTGTTATATTACAATGATGTAGACTTATAGTTTAACATAATATCACTTCTCGTGTTTATGTTTTATTTTTCCTTCAATCTATTAGTCTATCCTTGGAAACAATTCATTGGTTTATAAATGAGATAATGACATCTTTAGAATCGTGTGTGTATACAATCCATGAAAAAGTTTAATCCATAGAACGATTTCACATCTTCTCGTGTTTTGAGTTTTTTTAAATGGGGTTTATTTTGCAAATCTGCTACTCACAATCTAATATATATATAAAAATAAAGTAGGCATTTTTCGGGAGCATTTGAAGCGCCACATAAGAAAAGTTATTATTTTGTCCAATGAAAAATTAAATTAATAATTTATTTTAGAATTAAAAAATTTACTCGCCAGCTAAGCAAAGTGACGAATAAGATTTAAGAATTTTGACAGTAAAAACAAAGAATATAGAATAATTAAAATTTAAATTACTTTTAAAACCCAATAATTATCTTCTCTAAAAAAAAAAGTAATAATTATCTTTTTTATATGTATGGATGCAAATTTTAAATCACAAATATCTTTAATCTCTCCCTAGAAAATATTGTAAATATTTGATTTTAATAATGTAATTATCGGGACGAGTAAAACTAAAGTTAAACGATTATAAATGAGACTAACATTTTAAACAGAACGAGTATATTAAATAAAAATTAACGCATAGGTAAAAGACTTATTTTGATCAATAAAAAAACGAGATTTGTCATTTATATTGTGAATGAAAATTTTAAATTGTCACATAAGCAAAATTAGTGTATAAGGTTTGGGATTTTAAATTCAAGCGTCACATAAAATAAATAAAAGAACAAAAGATAACTTTAGTGTAAAAATTAAAAAATTATCTTTTGATATTAGGAATTTTATCCATATATTTAGTGAATGATCTTCATAAATATACACAATTTTAAATTAAATAAAATGAATACTAGAACCGTGCATTGTACGGGCTTACATCTAGTATATATTATGAGGGGTACATGTCTCATTTGATAGGTTACTAAAAAAAATAAAACTTGTCAATTATCACATTGACTATAAAAGTTTTGGTGTTCCACCCGATTACCATTTAGGCTAATCTGAATTTGGGGCTAGATTTAAGTGATTAGGTTCCATTATCTCCTAATTATTGTTGCGGAAGATTAAACAAGCAATCCTCACTATGAAGTCTCAAGTGCATTTCCAACTTCAAAGTGCACAAACAGTCAAACACCTAATCGGCTAATCGCTTATTATCGCTCCTCTATAAATCTATATGTACACGAAAAAAGATATTTGTGACAAACAATTAAGATGAAAAGAGAAAGTAATAAAGAGGGAAGAACTCGGCAAACAACTGGTAATTCGTAAGTTCGTTACAATTCTAGAACAAGCGTTCACAGGGGAAGAAACAGTGAACCCAAATTCCAAATTCTTCCAACAACATCAGAATCTCCCAATTTGTCGACTTTTGAACTAGGTTTGATTTTCTCTCTCCTAAAACCCAATTTCATTTCAGTCTCAAATTCGCAGTTTATTTGCAATGCGCTTAAAAATCTTGAGCTGGGAACTCATTTGATTCTGCTACTGTATCGATTAATCAACGCATTTATTTATATTTCCTGATAAACTTTCATTATTTTCAAATTTATCCCTTTTTTTAAAAAATTATAATCACGAAAGATGGTGCATAACAACATAAAACAGCTGATTTTTCTGCAATAAATTCTAGGATTTGTGGTTGTTACATTAAAAATTACTGGAAAATTGCGTAAAACATTTGTTTGTAGGCTGGTAAATTTATATATTTTTTTTTTGAGAAAGTCGTTTTCTTTCCTTTTTTGGTGTATAAAATTTTCTGGGCTTTGTATTTGAGCTGCTTAATAATATCTATATGTTTGTATTTTTGGTGGCTAATTGATAGTGAAATTTATTGATAGTTTCTGTGAAGTAGATAATAAACTATATGAGGAACTTGCAGATGTATTTGTCAAAAAAAAAAAAAAAAAAAAACTTGCAGATGTAAATTCTAGTATTAAATTGTCTTTGATGCGCGATTTTGGACGAATTTAATAATTATTTCACAAAACATTACAGGAATTATATGTTTTGTTGATTCTGTTGCTAAAGACTAAAGAGTAGCTCTTTATAGTTTTTAATGAGAATGAATTACAGGATTAAAATTTCACACTGAGTGACTACAGATATTTGATTGATTTCACTATTAGTAAAGAGGAAAAGATGTTTTTGGGGCGTACCCACGGTCTTCCGGTGTATAGCTCACTGAATGATGTGTTGTATCCGGACCACGAATCAGAAGTTGATGAGGATGGAGGAGGAGGTAGCTCTAGCCAGATTTTATATATGGCTTCCTTTGATGAACTTGCAAAGAATTACATTAACTATGAAACTATCATATGGCTTTCAATTTCGTTACTGTTGGTTTTAGCTTGGGGAGTTGGGGCTATTATGTTGTTGTTTTTGCCCATTAGAAGATATGTGCTTCAGAAGGATATTTCTTCCCGAAAGCTGTATGTTACGCCAGCTGAAGTTGTCTACAAGGTAGAGTTAGGTAGAACTTGTACATCTGGATTGTTTTGAGGAGGGATTTGGAAGTATATTTGACATTGCTGAACTTTGTTGTGACAGGCATCTAGACCATCGTATATACCCTGTTGGAGAATGGCGACAACGGAGACACGAGTTCCTTTGTCCTTGGTGATTGATATAATTATAGAACAAGGTTTGAATTCTAAACCATGATATTTTGATGTCCAAGTAATGCTAGACTGAGTATATATATCTCCAACCATTCTTGCTTGAAGAAATGAATTAATGTTAATCCTCTATTAAATCACTGGTAGTTTGCTGCTTTCATGCATGTAGTTCACTTACTTTGATTTATATATTTAGGTTGCTTACAATCTGTGTTTGGTATACACACCTTCAGAGTGGAGAGTATATCTCGTGGTAAGTCTGCTCCTGTGGATGAACTGCAGATTCAAGGGATATCAAATCCAGGACTTTTGCGGAAGGTATGGCACTGTACACTATTGTGTTTTCTTGTAACTGTTGTGCCTTTTACTTGCCTTGATCCTCTATAACAAAAGAAAAAAATTCATACAACTTAGCAACTTTGTTCTCTTGCATGGTTTACATTGTATCATTATGACAAAGTGATGTTAAGGACTAAGTAGATGGATTTGTGTGTGTCCTATCAACAGGTAATTATAACAGAAGCTTCAAAGGTTATTCGAGATGCTGGAAAGAAGATGAACCTTATGTCATCTTTGAATCAGAGACTTGCTTCTTCAAGACCACCATCCAAGAAGTGGAAGGTATGTCAATAATGGGACGATAACATAATTGACTTTAAACCTTGAGAACCAACACCTTATAATTTTTCATCATCAATGAACATGATGTCTATCAGTCTCTGCGCTTCCTAATTTATGCAAAGATATATAGTAATAAATGGCACCAATGTTAGTAATGTCTCTTTAATATTAGAGTCAAACAGAAGACTAATCGAGTTGCTATGTTTTTAGATGACCGTGAATATATTTGAATGAAAATTTTTGCTTATGAAGAATGACTGGATAACTGGGGTTATATGTAATTTCCATGAAAGTTGACTACTTCTTACTATCCTTGCGTTTGTTATGCGCAATTACAGGCTGAAAATTCTTCATTTCCTGTGCCTACCGAGTACAGAGGAATGGTTTCTGAAGAGCTGTTTCTGAGTAAACTGGACGAAGTGGATCAATCTGTTAAGGTATGTAGTTTCCTTGATCCCCTATCTGAAGTTGTGAAGTTTGCGATTTGAGTTTGAGGTTTTACACTATCAGATTTGAAATTGCCTCCAGTAATTTGGCATCATCAAAGTTCCATGATATCTTGATTTTGTCTGATTATTTGGGTTGACTGACAAGATGATATGCATGTGTTCACTTGCTTCAGTAATTCGTATCAGTTGTGCTTGTTCTACTTATAAGTTTACCTTAGTTCTTCTTTCCCTGATGACCAGAAAATTGAGTTTCTTATCGATAAATCCCGAATCTCACCGAAGTTAGCTGAAAGATATGAAGATGTGGCTCCAAGTTTGTAAGTTTTCCTCGTCCATGTTCGGCCAACTTAAGTTAACAAGGGTTAAATGTTGAGGTGTAACCAATCTTCCGTGCATATTAATGTTGAAGATCATTCTTGCAGCCTACAGGATGTCAGATAGATAGTTAGATACATCTTGTTTCTGTACAGTGTATATACTTATATAATTGTGGCTTTATGTAGGTTTTTCAATTCCTTGTAAACCTTTGTATTCCTTTGTGGTAATGCTTATCAATCTTTGTTGCCTCTTAAATTGTAATAGCATGTTTCGAGATTACACCACGAGGCATAGATGAGCCTCATTTTGTTTTCTGGTTACATCACGAGGCATAGATGAGCCAAGTGAGTGATTAATTTGTAAGCTCTTGTATGTTGTATCCGCAATTGTCTATCAACAAGCATAATGATACTTTGTCATTCTCATAGCATCTTACTGGCTATCTATATACCATGACTAATCTAAACAGTCTTAGTGTCCGCGATAGTGCAAAATTCTTATACCATGAAGGATAATGATCTACTTTGTCGCGATTGTTTAACTACAAGCAAAAGTGCACAATTCTTATACCGTGATTGTCCATCAACAAGCATAATGATCTACTTTGTCATTCTCATCTCATAGCATCTTACTCGCTATTCCTGAAGTTAATGTTAAGTTCACCACTATTCCTACTCAACATGATTTTCACTTCTCATGATTACGCATTACCACTTAATTTTTTATTAAACAATTACTACGTATTATTGTAACTAAATTAAAGTTAATCTAAAAAAATAAATGGAGTAAAACATTGTTATTTAAAAAACTTAAAAAAAATAAACCATGTTCTCAATCAAAATCTTAATTCTATTGTATTCAAAATTGGTTTTTAATTTTTTTTTTATTTTTATTTTTTTAAACAAGTACCCAAATTGTTTAAAATTTGGGTGATCAGTCGATAAATAAAGCTATTTTGGGGACAAAAGTAGTTTTTATCATTGGCTTAATACAGTTTTTTTTTTTTTTTTCCATTAATTTCAATTGCTTGTGGATTTGCTAGTCTATTAGCAAAATAAATCATACTTATATATAAGAAAGTTGAAGAAATCAATGGTTAACCCATTTAACCAATTTGACAAACTCAACATCTGATAAATTAAAAATTTATTGAGTAACTTATATATACGATTCATCATCATATAACCAATCGGCCATTTGAAATAAACATCGAAAAAAAAAAAAACCGAAATCATCAGAAGATTAAACTGCAAGATAATCATGTAAATTATCATATTGTTGGTCTTCAAAGTGTTGCAGTAAAAATCTCATCAATTGATCTCATAAATATAAAATTAAAAAAAAAAATCAAAATCAAATAAAAGACGGAAGAAATTTTCGAATGATACAATAGAGAAAACGTTGAGTTTAACTACCAAAAAAAGCTGTTTGCTAATATTTATAGGGTTGTTAGTTCTTCATTTCCAGGGTTTTATGAGTTGCACGCCGTCAAATGTTCATCTCTTTGTTTTTGCTTTTGTACTCTGGTTTTGTTTGGGCCAGAATTCTCTTCTTATTGGGCTTTTACTGGACTACTTGAATGGGGCCTAATGATTCTATTGGGTTTGAATGTTGTCTTTTGGATTTGATTTGCACTTTTGTAAAAAACAAAATTTGTAGAAAGGTAAAAATGTTGATCGTCTAGTCAAGTGTGATAAAGAGGTTAAAATGTTGATCATCAAGTGTGATAATAATGATAATGATACTTAGGTTTTTCATATTGGGACAAGATATTAATTTTACGAACATTTTCACTAACTTTTTAGGATTTTAGATCTATATTTAGGATTGTTCATATTTACTGAACTGAACTGAATTGAGCTAAAATGAGAGAGGGAAATTAGGAGCTGAAATGAATATTTTGTAAGAGAAGAAAGTTAGGAGCTGAACTGAACAGATCTTATTGGAGCTGAAATGAACTGAACTGAACTGAACTCAACTGAAATTAAGTAAATGTGAACAAGCCCTTAATGTACAACTTTCTATCGCTTTGTTTTAGTAAATAGAGAAAATGGAACTACATTCTTATCATAGATTTCGGATTTATTTTTGTCGTAGACTATGGATACATTTCCATGTACAAAATTTCTTATGTTTTTGTAACATAGACCAATAATATTGTAATCTTCTAAATTTTAGGTTAAAAATTTGAAAGTTTTATCATTTTTCATTAACTTCAAACTCTCATTCCAACCTATCACAGTAAAACTGTATTACTTTGTAAACCCTCATTTTTCTCTTTACTTTGTAACCAACTTTCTAAACCCTAAATTTTCTACTATGTATTTACTTTGTAACAATAGTTTCCTTAAACTCTCATTTCAACATATCATTGAGTATTGTCGCATGGAAAAAGTGTGTAAAATTACCTTTGAGATGAATATATTACTCTCATATTCTAGTGGTCCATTAATCACTATCATACCACCCATTTCAGAGTCACAAACACAAAATACACAATACTCCCAAATTCCACAGTCGGATAGTTATCGTCCACTGTTCAGAAAACCAAGTTATTCATCGAATATGAATAAGAAGAGGATATTGATAGTAGGAGGAACAGGGTACTTGGGTCAGCATCTTCTCCAATCATTTGCAAATCTCCGAACATCATCTTCTTATGATCTTGCTTTCACTTATTGCTCGACCCCTCCTTCTGATTTGCTTCATGCTTTTCCTCAATCACTCTCTTTTCCCCTTGATTTGCGCATTGGTGATGGGTTTGATTTCATTACCGATACATTCGGTCAGGTAATTCATATCTGATTCAATTTTAATTGTTTGATTATTTCTGATAATACCCTCTTGAAGTTGCTGATTGTTTTTATATATGAGGGCAAAGGTTAGTTAATTATTTCGAATTATACCTGTTTGGATTTGTTTTTGTAAATTTAGCAGAGTTATATATCGTGATTATGATTAATTTTGTGTTGGGTTGTTGTTGTTTAGTTGAATTTCAATTTAATTGTATGACACCACTCATTGGAACTTGCTTCAAGGGCCAATTTTGTTCTAGATTGTGGATTATGATTAATTTTATGTTGTGGTGTTGCTATGTAGTTAATTTCAATTTAATTTTATGGTACAACTAATTTGAACTTGTTTCATATTGAGGGCTATGTTGTTAGATGGTTGATTATGATTAATTTTATTTTGTGGTGTTGTTGAATTTCAGTTAATTTTATGTCACCACTCATTTGAATTTGCTTTATGTTGAGTTGCATCAATTATTTAATTATGAATGAATTTGATACTATGTATGCTGTAATTATTAACAGGAATGAATTTTGGTAGATTAAGTATTGATATTAGTTGAAATGATATTGATATGGCAGCCAGATGTAGTTGTGAATTGTGCTGCACTCTCGGTACCTCGGGCGTGTGAGGCTGATCCTGTTGCTGCTATGTGCATCAATGTGCCAAAGCCTCTTGTCAGCTGGATATCGAGTTTTAAAGAGAAAGAAACTCTTTTGATTCACCTTTCAACTGATCAAGGTATAATTTAATAACTCAAATTCTATCTGCTGTAAAAAATAAAAAGTGTTGTGGTTTTGGAAATTTCATTTGGTATGTTTTCGAGTTACATTTTCGTATACATTAACTTTGAGAGACTTGTTTTGATATTTTTGAATCAACTGTTTTTGTAATGTTGAACTTGCCTTTAGCATTCTTGTTTACGGATCATTTTTTTTTTTTTTTTGTGCTCGAATAGTATGATTGTTTTGATTGCTCCAATGAATTTTGTGTTTAGTGTAACTGAACATTAGTTGAAATGAAGCACAGTATTTTCAAACGTAGTTTACTTGTTTCATTTGTCTTTAGTTTCTTGTTTCATTTGTCTTTTGTCTGATATGTCTAGCCTTCAGTTTATGAAGGGACCAAGTCATATTATAAAGAAGAAGATAAGACTTGTCCAGTGAACACCTATGGGAGATCAAAAGTGGCAGCAGAAGAATTTATCAATTCAAATTGTTCAAACTTTGCAATTTTGAGAAGTAGCATTATCTATGGTCCGCAAACAATATCTCCTGTCCTAAAGTCCCTTCCTATTCAGGTACGAAGTTTCATATGCTATTACGTTTCTTATTAATATTGGACAGGACATACATAGAGGTTATTAATGACAAAGACACTTTTAAATTTTAATTAATGTAATAATTTGGGAACATTTTCAATTAATTTTTTATGACGGTCACAAACTTTCAACATTATAAGCTATATATACATCTCATTCACTATCTATTTAACTTGAATCTTTTGTGATACAGTGGATTGATGACATATTATCTAAAGGAAATAAGGTGGACTTCTTTTATGATGAGTTCCGCAGCCCAGTTTTCATCAACGATGTAGTGGGTGCTGTTATAGCTCTTACAAAAAAATGGGTCATAGGTGAGAAACTTGTTTTCTATATTGAAATGCATTTTCAAAGTATTGTAAATGTTTTTTTTATAAAATTCTCATAAAACTTAATAGATTCTTTATTCTATCAGATGGCATTCCAATGCAATTAATATTAAATCTTGGGGGCCCGGAAAGAGTTTCCCGCGCTCAAATGGCAAAAGTTGTAGCGGAGATCAGAGGATATGACGCCTCTTTGATCAATCTCATGTCTGCATCATCGGTTGGTATTCAAAATAAGATAACATTTAATTTGCGGATTGTAATTGTATTAATTTTAGATTCAGGTTTTTAATTAGATAATAAATAATTTATTATATTTCAGGTTGATCGCGGTGTGAAATCGCCAACAGATATATCCATGGACATTAACAAATTGGTGAACACACTCAATATAGCTCCTATTTCATTCAAAGATGGTGTAACTTTGACACTTTTAAATCGTTGACTAATCCATAGAATTTGGAAGATACAATTTCATGTATTTGTTTATGACATTTTTTTTTTATTGCCAAAACTATAAATTATCATTTTGGAGGATAATATTTTTGGTGGATGCTTTTTCTTACAAGGAAATGCCTTTAAATAAATTCTTTAGTAACTATTGGACCTTTGTATATTTTTAAAGTGGATTTTGATATCCAAAACTTTATTGGTCTTTCCAAACAATATTGCTAAAATTTTGCTCAAGTCTCACCTCCATACTTCTTATTAAATTACCCTTATATGTGGATAATAGTTAAAAGGAGAGGAAACACCAATTTTATTTTCTTTTAAATGTTTAAAAATTTTACAAGTGTCTAAGCTAATTCCACTTTGTATTGTTTAAACAATCATATAATGTGCATGCCAACAGTTTATTTATTTTTGACAATAGGTTTGTTGGGTGAGGGGTTTACATGATGAAATTGATGATGATTTGGCCAGTGAGGGTTGTTAGAGCATCTCCAATGGTAAGCTATAATACTTTGTAGCTTACCTTGTCACATCAAATATTCAAGCTAATATATTTTGTAGCTACAAAGTGTTTCAACGTTTAATTGTAATATGTTGTAGCTTGGAAGAAATATAAATAATTAAAATAGATTTATTATACACATGTCATATGTTTAATGGGTGAAATTATCTTTGAAAAGCAAAGTAGCTTGTGTTGAGCATCGTTGCTTAATTTAGCTACATCAATTTTCCACTCCACTAGTAAATTACATGCTTGTATGTTTAATTAATTTGCAAGTAAGTCCCTATTTGTATACCATTGGAGATGCTCTTATATTGCCCTTATACCCTAAGTTTACTTTTGAAAGTGTCTAAAATTCATCGATCGTATTTAGGAATTCATTTGGTACCCAATTTCTTTTCGAATTCCACATGATACTAATATACTTTTAAAGTTTTTCTCTAATAGAACATTCCATCAAATTTGTTTTATATTCTTCGATTTGGGTGCCATGAAAATTGTTCAGTTAAGATTTTAAAGGGAAGTTTAAGCCCTTAATTAAATATTCAAATTTGAAGTCGAAACTAGCAAAAAGACGCTTAAAATGCCTCAATTTAGTGCAAGAAAACTGTCTCAATTTACATATTTCAATTGCTTCACACAAAAATATATTTGGTAAAAGTTTCAAAACTAGAAAAAGGGCCACAAATCCCTAGAGCTGTCAAAAGTTAACCCAACCCGAAATACTGACTCAAACCCGATTATTAACCGAACCATCTGAACCCGAAAAATGGTGACACAAACTTGACCCGACCCGACCTGAAACCAACCCTAAACCCGAGTTGGCCCGAGTATGTGAGACTCGAACCCGAACATGAACTAACCTGGAGATGACCCGACCCGAATGTAACCCCGTAAATTATTGACCTAAACCGAACCCGGCTTAAACCGAAATTGACCCAAACCCGTTGTAACCCGTCAAAACCCGAACATAACCCAACTTGTTACTAACCTGACCTGAATTCAACTCGACCCGTTCATAACCCCACACGAATTTAACCTAACCTGTTACAAACTCGACCTGAAATCAATTCGACTTGTTATTAACCTGACCCAAATTAAACCCGACTTGTTATTGACCCGACCCGAATTTTACCTGACCTATTACTAACCCGACCATAAAATTCAACCCTATCTATTACTAACCCGACTCGAAATCAACACGACTTGTTATTAACCCGACCTAAATTCAACCCAATCTGTTCCTGACCCGATTTCAAATTACCTTAAATGCAATATAGACCACCTTATCATTGTTGATCAAAGCATTTTGTCTAGGGAGACCAAATCGGTCCAGGCCAGTAAAAGTAAGGAGCATCATCCTCAAATTTAAGAATTAAATATAGTATATATTTGTTGTATGGTCAAAGGAGATAATTATCTTCCTAAATTATACACTATAGTTCCTAATATATTGCCATATATATTTTAGTCAAAGGAAATAATTAGCTTGATAAAATGATAATTATCTACTTATATTTAGTTGAACCCGAATATTACCTGACTTGGAAATAACCCGACCTGATTGTAACCTGCAAATTATTGACTTGAACAAAACCCGACTTGAATCCGATAATGACCCGACTTGGAAATGACCCAACCTGATTATAACCTGCAAATTATTCACTTGAACCGAACCCGACTTGAATCTGAGAATGACCTGACTTGAAAATGACCCGATCTGTTTATAACCTTCAAATTATTGACTCGAACCAAAACCCGACTCAAACCCAAGAATGACCTGACCTCATTCTAACCCGCAGATTATTGACTTGAACCGAACTCGACTCAAACCCGAGAATTACCCTAACCCGTTTTAACCCGAATTAAACCCAACCGATTGTTCACCGGAATCGAATGTAACCCGACCTATTATTAACCCAACCTAAACCCGATAAGAAGTATGACTCGACGTGACCCGACTCAAGCATAACCCAACCCAAACCCGAACCACATATGTTATGGAATTAATCCGAGTTGAACCGACCTACTCTTACCGACCTAAACCCAACCTGTTTACACGAATTGACAGCTCATCCCGAAAACTCCAAAATTTCTCAAAAAGCGTGTATATATGCTTTCATTTTGGAACATTTTGACTTTATTTCACCCGGAATTAAAAATTGCCAAAATGTTTTTACCATAGTACCTAATATCATCTGGGAGCCCAATTGGCTGGGTGGAACCATCCATTTTGCCTTTAAACGACCAATTTATCAGTTTACAACTTGCATCGATTTCAATAACTCAAGCCTATCACGAACATTTATGACAACATATAATGATCATATATGGTTCCAAACGACATTATATAACCCCGAGATGTGTCCCCTAACATCTCAATCCTTTTCAACACCGAGCCCCGAAACAATCGAAATTTCTTAAAAAGCGTGGATATGCCTTTAATTTTGGAATTTTTTGACTTTTTTTTTCGGTCGGATAAAAAAATTGCTGAAATTTTTACCATTGTCCCTAATACCCTCCGGGAGTCCAATTGCAATTTGCTTTTAAACGACCAATTTACCGGTTTACAACTTGCACCAATTTCATTAACTCAAGCTTACCACGAACATTTATGACAACATATAATGAACATATATGGTTCCAAACGACGTTATATGACCCCGAGATGTATCCCCTAAAATCCCAATGCTTTTCGACAACGGGCCCCGAAACAATCTAAATTTCTCAAAAAGCGTGGATATTAGCCTTCAATTTTGGAATTTTTTGACTTTTTTTCGCTCGGATAGAAAATTGCCGAAATATTTACCATGGTTCCTAATTCCCTCCGGAAGTCCAATTGGATGGGTGGAACCATCCAATTTGCCTTTAAACGACCAATTTACCAGTTTACAACTTGCACCAATTTCATTAATTCAAGCCTACCTTGAACATTTATGACAACAAATAATGATCATATATGGTTCCAAACGATATTATATGACTCCAAGATGTATTTCCTAGAATTTCTAAACTTTTCGACATTGGGCCCCGAATACTCAGAAAATTCTCAAAAAACGTGGATATAGGCCTTTAATTTTTTAATTATTTGACTTTTTTCCGCTAGTAAATAAAAATTGCCGAAATGTTTATCATGGTCTCTAATACCCTCCGGGAGCCCAATTGGGTGTGTGGAACAGTCCAGTTTGCCTTTAAACAGTCAATTTACCGGTTTACACTTGCGTCAATTTCATTAACTCAAGCCTAACCGAAATTTTTATGACAACATATAATGATCATATTGTTTTAAACGGCATTATATGACCCCAAGATGTATCCCTTAAAATCTTATTTTTTTTCGGCACCGGTCCCTGAAACCTTCGAAATTTCTCAAAAAGCGTGGATTTCAAATTTTGAATTTTTTGAATTTTTTTTGCACGAAAAAAAATTGTTGAAATGTTTACCATTGTCCCTAATATACCGGGAGTCCAATTGATTAAATATAATAACAAAAATTTCTTTAAAAAAAAAACAAATAAAATCTACTTCGTATTTTAGAGACTCAAATAGTAGAGCTCCATCCTTCAACTTGGTGAGCGCAGTGAACAAACACAACTGAACTCTTTCATCAATTTCTGGGTTTTTTCCTCTCAGCCTTCAGGTGTTCTTCTTCTCTCTCTTTCAATCGCAATTACTTCTTTCTTCCCCAAATTTCCAATCACCCGAATTTTCAATCTATGTTTTCCAATTTAGGGTTCCTGATTTCCACATTCCAATCAATCTAGGGTTTTGATTCGGTCTTTAATCTGATCCGATTGATTTTGTTACAGGTATTTTGCAGATTAATTTAGGAGAGAGAAAATGGGAGGAGATGGTGGTCATGTCGGTGGAGGAGACTTTAGGTCGAAGGTGTGGAGTTTATCAGGTGGGCCCAATTGCCGTCCCAAGCATTGGCGTCGTAATACCGTCTTCGCTCTTGCCGGCATTTTCCTCGTCTGTGTTCCCATTGCCATGAAATCTGCTCAGCTTGAGGTCTTTTTTTCCCATTGATTTTTTCTTGCAATTAGAGTGATTGATCTTCAAAAATGTTGCCAATTATATGAAATTTCAATGAATGGAATGCTAATTATGTTCTGAGTTTGCAATTAATTTGGGTGTTCTATGATAAAGTAAAGTTGGGGGAGTCTAAATAAATGGGTTTTTGTTACTGTTGTTTTTGATGGGTTTGTTGGTGTTCAATGGTGTTATGGTAATAGTCAAATATAGACAGAAGTGGGAGGAGGAGGAGGGGGGTTGGGGGGGGGGTAGGCTGGAGGAGAATCGGGTGCGATTGGTAAGGAGTCCTCTGCTTCGATTTTTATGTTACCATCCACTTTCAAAGATGTGATGGTAAATGCATAAGTTAACTCACTGAATAGAATTCTTATTATTACACTTGTACCTTAATATCCCTTCAGATGGATGAATTAGTACTTCCTCTGAGATTGATTGATGTTTATTTTCTTTGAGGGAGAACTTGGGGAAGGGGCGGGGGGAGGGGAGTATGCTGGCCTGCTGGCAATCATACGAGTTGATACTCGAAAGGCTTTAACTAGGCAGACGGACATATGCCATCCTTATTCCTTATGATGTTGCGGACTTAACTGTCTCAAAATGAAATGTAGATACTAGATGAGGAATTAAGGGGTTGGT